TGGGTGGACCCAGGAACAGCGTACGTGGCGGGCCGTGGGATGGAGCTGAGACAAGCGACCAGCGTCCTCAGTGGGCTGCTAGGAGGGTCTCGCGTGGCAGCAAGAGCACAGCCGCCCCAGCTCAGGTTCCAAAACTGAAGTGCCACACACTGAGATAAGCAGGGGTCCTTAAAAGGAGCTAATGACTACAAAGGGATGCCTGGAACGTCCACCCACATAGAAAAGTGGCTTCATATGCACCATACAATTTCTCCATCAATGTCACTGTTGTTCCCATCACATTAGTCACCTGGGTGGCTGCGTTTGAGGCTGCCTTTGCTCGGAACAGTTTTGGAATTTCCGTCAGGGCCTGTTTACCAACCACACAAGTAAATCTTTCTTGACGCGATCACACCTTATTTTTCAGCTCATACCATCATTTTTCTGCTCAATCACTCACGTTACTTGCTAGATTCAGTCTGAATGGATTTTGCTTGTGTGTAGAAATGACATCCAACGATCAAAAGATGCTTTGAAAGAAGCAGCTCACTAGCGATGTAGTTCAGTGATAGAGTGCTTGCCTGGCATGTGGTGAGGCCCTGGTGTAGATCCCAGCACTGCAAAAGCAGAAAAAGAAAAACATTGCTGAAAAAGACTGCTCAGATATAATGAGTCTCCTGGTTATAGTACACAGCAGCATCTATTGAAACGATCTTACCAAATTGGTCTGCTGAACCTCTCGATGTAATAATCAATTTATAAGAACTAGAGAACAGAAAAACATGCTAAATGACACCATGAGAAATGATCCTATTAGTTAGCTGTCACAGTAACAAAATAGCTGAGAAAATCAACTTAAGAAGAAAAGTTTATTTTGGTTCAGGGTATCAGAGTTTCAGTCCATGGTCAGTTGGCTCTGTTATTTTGAGGACTGCCACAAGGCAGAATATCACAATCCATTGGAGCATGTGGTGGAGCAGAGTTGCTCATCACAAAGTGACCCGGAAGCAAAAAAGAGAAGAAAGGGTTAGGGTCCCTATATACTCTCCAAAGGCACAGCCCCAGTCACCTAACTTCCTTCCACTAGGTGCCTCCTCTTAAAGGTTCTGCCACCTTCTGTATTGCCAGAAGTTGGTGACTAAGCCTTTAGCCCATAAGCCCTTGGAGGGAGGGGGGACATTCGAGATCCAAACTATTGTAAATCCAATAAGTGGAGACCTTGGGAATTCAAAGCAGACATCCATCATCAATAAATTATTTTCTTTAATTTCTTTTTCAGTTGTTGATGGACCTTTATTTTATTCTTTTATCTGTATGTGTTGCTGAGAATTAAACCCAGAGTGTCACACATGCAAGGCCAAGTGCTCTACCACTGAGCCACAACCCCAGCCCCCTTCATCAATAAATTCTAAAGAATAAATGAGGAGAAAGTCCAATCTGTATATTAAAAAATATTGGGGAGGACCGAACCCAGGGCCTCACATGTGCCAGGTGAACACTCTGCCACAAAGGGGTTTTAAACAAAAAGATAGTCTGTCAACCACCAGGATCCAAATCAAGATGTAATTACAAAAGTCGTTTTTAAAATCTCAAGCCCTAGTGGTATTATTAAGATAGATGAACAAATTCCTAAGGTAAATAAGTTGAAGGAAACAATGCTTGCTTAGATGTATACTTTATGGTATTGTGTGTGTTTGTGTTGGGGCAACTGGGAACAGAGCCCAGGGACTGGAACCTACATGCTAAGTAGGTACACTGAGCTACACTCCTGGCCTACTTGATTGTTTTAAAACTGGTTTTATCAGGCTCATATCTAAATGTACAAGAAATTCCACAGATCAACATGCCCCAGAGTTAAGCAAAGAGATCTAGTCCTGTGCTTTTCACACGTGGGCAGTGCTCTTACATGGTGGCTGCGGTGTGAATCATAAAGATGTCCATGATATGGAGGAGGCAGGGGGACGTGTGCTAGCAGCCACCAGGGACCAAGAACCCAAAGTAAGTGTCCTGATGAGATAGAAGTTTAGGTCCCTCTCATGTGAATTAAATCCAGGGCTATTAAGTGGCCCCCAGGATCACTATCAATTGCCACCTCCCCTTCAAACCACCAGAGTAACCGGCTGATGGAGCAAAGCTAGGTCCTGGAACTGGCTGCAATGGGGAGGGGGACCATCTCAGCATCCCCTGGGGACACCCTTGGTGTGAAGGGTGGTGGACTCAGGCCATGTCTGCAAGTGTGGGGGGCTTGGCCTTGGTGTTTGAGGCAGATCTCTCAGTGCTGGGATCTAACAGGATGGGCCGAGTTGGATATACTGTTTAGGCCTGATGGACACACCGCGTCTTGAAAATTGGAGTCTTGAAGAATAAACTTTAGTTGTTTGATAAGTGAGTTGTTTACCCAGGAGAATAATTTGTTCTGCTGGGGTGGGGTTATTTGCCAAGATGAGCAATCTTTTGTTAGAATAAATTATTTCTCGGGCTGGGAATGTGGCTCAAGCTGTAGCGCGCTCCCCTGGCATGCGTGCGGCCCGGGTTCGATCCTCAGCACCACATACCAACAAAGATGTTGTGTCCGCTGAGAACTAAAAAATAAATATTAAAAATTCTCTCTCTCTCTCTCTCTCTCTCAAAAAAAAAAAAGAATAAATTCTTTCTCATAAATTTCCTGATGCAAACATTGAAGCTAGTTATTGGTTTACAGTCAAATCTTCCTGAACAATAATTTTTAGGGATCAAATAGTAAGTTGTGTTGGCTCGGGAAGTCTTGGATCTCAGTCCTGATAGTTAAGCAATGTGGGGACATAGGTTCCTCCATCTCCCAGCTTAGCCTTTGCTACTCAGTATGGTCCTCCTTCAGATAGCCCGCAGGAGAAAAGAGTGAGGATCAAACCTCTTCATGGAGCATGCTGCACGCACACCCCCCCCCCTTTGCATCCCATTGGCCAGAACTTGCACACCTATTTGCAAGAAAGGCTGAGAAATGGAACCTGTTTTATATACCCCGCTAAGTGATGAGTTCCATTACCAAGAAAAAAGCAGAGAATGACTGCTAGTGGCAGCAGGCTCTCTTATCAAGGGTGTAGTCAAATATTAAAGTGCAGGTGGGACACAGCTCAGTGGCACTGTGCTTGCCTAGTATGTGTGAGACCCTGGGTTCAACCCCAGGAACACACACACCCACAGTGCGGTTTGAAATTTTTCAATATAGAAGGAGGGACAGATGTGCCATCATCAGTGCTGTAAATGAGAACTGCAGAAACCGCCAAGGGCCAGTACCTGGGAGCTGAGGAAGGCCTCAGAGAGGAGAAACAGTGGAACAGGGATGTACCCGAGGACAAAATGAAGTCACCATGGGTGCGCAGTATCCCCAGAAGTGTGCGTGCACGTGCGCTCACAGGTGCAGAGAAAAACAAGGGCAAAATTCTCAAGAACTCCAAGTAATAAGAGTTGGGGTGGGGCGCAGTGTTACATGCGTTAATCCCAGCAATTTGAGAGGCTGAGGCAGGAGAATCTCAAGTTCGATGCCAGCCTTGGTAACTTAGCAAGACCCTGTCTCAAAATAAAAAATGGGAAGGACTGGGGATGTGAATCAGTGGTAAAGTACCCCTGGGTCCAGTCCCCAGGATCAAAACATACTAATGATAATAAAAAAAAGATCTGGGACATGGTCAAGAACCATGAAAAGATGCTGATAAAGCAGTTGGAGAGGTGGAAGGAGAACAGGAGAGACTGGTGACATCCTGGTCACCAAGAGAAAGCTTAAAGCTGTGTGGAGTCAACAGA